GGCTGGGGAATTTGGGGAGTTGAAGTCCACCCATCTTAAAGTTGCTGAGGTTGAGGAACCCTACTTTAAAAGAAAGAAAAGAATTAAGGGACAAGCATTTTCATTTAATTTAAATTTACTTGCTGTTATGCACAGACAAATCACCGGATTGGAATGTGGTCTTCCTTCCTTCTTTCCTTCTTAGATTCAATTTTGGGCTTCAGCTGACATATTATCTAAGTCCACAAACCAGATTTTCATGGGAGAGGGGAAGAAGAGATCATTTGTTGTATTTTAAGGGAAGGTGATAAGTTACTAAAATTGTTTATACTTGTTGTGATGAAGGGGGAAGTCATTTCTTTATATATTTTCTTTTCCTTCACTATACTGTACTCTTAATTTTCTTTCTTTTTTATTTTTCTTTCTATTTTTTATTTTTCTTTTCTGCACTTTCTATTTTTTCTTTTTATTCTTTTTTTAAAAAAATTGTCTTAGTTTTTATCTTTTGAATTGTAATGTTTAATAAAATGACTATTAAAAAAACCTGGATGTCTGAGCAGCCCCCAGATTTGGAAGAGAACATTGTGCTACGGGGGGTCTTAGAAGAAGGGACTTGGCTTAAATTGGATTTGAGGAGACCCTCACTGTGAGAATCAAGCCTGTTTGGGCACATGCACCCTTCACCCTCATGACCAGTAATGAAAGGGGGATGTAGGGTAGTAGGGGTCAAGGGGTTGGGCTGGGGCAGACATACCCACGTTCAAGCCCAGCTTTAGCCACAGAAGCTCCTGGATGAGTTTGATCCAGTCCCTGCCTTTCAGCCCAAGAGACAATGTGGTCCAGTGGAGAAGGTGCTGGAGTAGAAGTGGGGAGACCCAGGTTCTAGTCCTCCCTTGGGCATAGAAGCTCCCTGGATGTCTTTGGGGGACAGTCCCCCCCTCTCAGCCCAAGAACCAGTGTGGTGTAGTGGGGAAGGTGCTGGACTAGGAGTGGGGAGACCCAGGTTCTAGTCCCCCCTCAGCCACAGAAGCTCATGGAGATACTTTGAGCCATTCGCCCCCTCTCAGCCAAAAACCAAAGTGGTCCAGTGGGGAACGTGCTGGACTAGGAACCAGAAGACTCCAGTTCAAATCCCCCTCTCAGCTCTGGAAATTCCCCCGATTTTAGCAACAGTCCCTTTCTCTCAGCCTAATCTACCTCACTGGGTTGTCGTTGTGGGTAAACGGGAGGAAGAACACTACCTACCTTGAGCTCCTGAGCAGAAGGCAGGAGACAAATCTAACAAAGAAACACATACAGAGGACATCTAACCGATAAATGCACCCACCAAACAATTTCTCACCTGAGACTTCCACATAACCGTCCTTGGTTTTGACCGACAGCTCTTCGGGCTTAAAACTTTGCACGTTGACGCACACTTTCCAGGGCTCTCCCGAAAAGGACGGCGGGCTGGTCCCAAAGGGACTCCCTTCGGGGTAACTGCCATAGCGAGGACCGTATCCTGGAGGGGAAAGGCCGGTGGTCCGGACCATTCCTGACCTCAGCGGAGTTGACCAGGCGGAGGTGAGGGGCGAGCGGGCCCAGTCTGGCCAGTTGGCGGTCAGATCCCCCGAAAAAGGGGACATGCCGAAATCGTCGTCCAGAAGCCGGGAGGACAAGCTGGATTCCCTGAACGGATCTCGGAGATTCCGATGCCGGCCAGGGTAACAAGAGAAGGGAATCTGGTTGTCGGCCATTCTAAGGGGAACCGCTGGGAGAAACTAAGAAAGAAGAGCAAGAAAGGTTTGCCAACAGGTGTGCGGGTGCACAGAAACCTCAACTCCACAGTCCTGTTTGGAGCACAGCCCTTTTTCTCCCTCTTGTGAGGGCCAAAACGAACACGGTGGGTTTCCCCCTCTCCTTGCCGATCGGAATGACAAATCCCAAACCCCCAGCTGGAAGAAGCTCTCGATCAGTCCAAAGGAACCAACCCAGCTCCTTGTTTGCTTTGGGTCCAGCCGGTCACCGCTTCAGAGCCCCCCCCCACGAAAAAGCACCAGGCTGACGTTTTGCTCCCGATGAATATCACCCCTGGGCCAAACAGAAGCTTAAATAAACCTCGCCCGCGCCAGCCGAGAAACTTCCCTAAACTTCCAAACTGCCGGATGCCCCCTATTTATATGCAGGCTTCAGCGCTGGGGGTTGGAAGAAGAGAAGGCGGGTGTTGCAATCCACCCCGCGAGCTGTATTTTTGGAGAGCATGAAGCAGGCTCAGAAAATCTGGCCTGTAACAGCTGACCTCATCCCAAAGGGACAGGTTTGCTAAATGGAATTCCAAGTTTAGACTGGGTTGGCTCTACTTTTTGTCCCTCCCTCCTTCCCTCCCTCCCTCTTTTTTGGCAGCGTGATCTTAGCAAGCAAGCAGACTATTATTAGCTTGGGGTGTTAGGCCTCTCTCTGTGCTCGATTCTTTCAGTTGCTTGGACTCTGCCACAAGAGCAAAGAGACTTTTCTCAGCCCTGTTTAATCCCCAAGCAGAAACGGCAAAATTCTCGTAGGGCCAGTCAAGGTCTAGCAAAGGGGTACCGATTGGGAATGCATTAAATCCACAAGTGACCGTCTGGTGGGCTGTTAGTAATTTCATTTTGATTTAATGTCTATTTAATCTAATTGAGGTGAGATGGGGGGGGGTTGAGAGCCTGCCCCCTTTCTTTGTTCTGGCTCAGTCCACTTTGGGGAGGGTCTCCCCCAGAACTCAGCTCAAAAGGCAGGTACAATTCAGGACTCCCAGATGCTGTCCCTCCTGGGTCCAGCTTCTGCATTTCTGGGAAAAGAAAGAAGTTTGTGTTGGCTTAGTTAGAAGGAAGCCCCATTATAGACACAGCAGAGTGGCACTGGGCACAGGAGAGATAAGAAATTGCTTAGTGAATATTTTTCTAAAATGTAATACGTATGCTTATCTTCCCGTGACGTCACCTGTATCTGGTACATAGTTGCTTGATGGCTATCTTGTAACCCTGTTTGCAATTGGAGTCTTTTTGTAAAGCAGAAGTAGGCTGTACTTGGGGGTGGAAGAAGGGGGTCTTTTCACCTTGGGAGGGCTGTGTCCTTTGTGTGACTGACCAGGCTCTGTAGACCCTCACAAATAAACTATCTGGAGATTGAGTGTTGGGGTTGGAGTAGATGAATGGGTCAGGATCAACCTTGCTGTAAAAACTGCTGAGAAAGGGGAGGGAGCTGTGGCATTCATGAGTTTTCTCTCCCACACATTGCACACCTGAAATCTTAGAAGGTCCATCTTTAGATGCCCTCCAGAGGTGTGGACTTCAACTCCCAGAATATGATGCCCCCAAATGCTCAGCAAAGGCCATGCTGGCCCTTCATTTCTGAGAGCTGAAATTCACACATTGGGTGGGTTGCTGCCAGCCAGGGTCCAGCAAATGAGAGCCATATAAAATTGCTTTTTAAAGGAAGACTGTCTACCCCCCCAGCCATCCCCCAGTTGTGTTTGTTATTCCTTGGTGGCTGGAGTTATCTTTGTAATTTTTCTTCAATATTCTTTTTCTTCTCATTACTTCGGTTATCCTGTTTTACTATTTTAATCTTCGCAGCCCGACGTTGTGGAGCAAGCTGCCTTCTGGTGAGTCACATGGCTTATCCACCAAGCCTAGTATTATGGACACTGACTGGCAGCAACTTCCAGGCATTCTGACAAAAGTGGTCCCTCCCAGTTCTGTTTGGTCCTCATCTTGGACATCGTTACAAATATAATAATATTTGGACCCAATAGTAACTCCAATATTGATCCTATTAGGGTCAGATCTAATGAGTTCTTGGATGAGAGACCAAAGTTCAAAGCTGTAGGCTACCCTAGGAGATCAAGAAAACATCTAGGGATGAAGTTGTGTTGCTGCCAAGAAACTACAAGGATGTGTCTGTGAAATCACCAGTAGTCAACCTTGCCTGAAGGGAGTCCTTGCTTTTCCTTGGTGACATCAGAAAAAGAGCAGCTTGTTTGCTCAGCTCATGGTCTTCCCAACCATTCCTTCTTGTAACCTTCTCCCGTGAAAACAATTGAAATGGGATACCCTCTTGATCTTCACCTCCCTTAACCGAAGACAGATCTCTGCAAAATTTAAGCGATGAATCCAATATGCCATTTTCCTGATTTACACCATGTTTCCATGATCTTCCAAAGAAGCCTTCCAGGGTCCTCCACAAGGGTTTAAACTTCTTCAAACAATGCTGCTTCCCACCACTGAGTTAACAGTCTTTCCCTCTTTCTTTCGCTTATTGGGGGAGCTTTTGTAAATGAGGGTATGGTTTGCATTTCAGCTTTCTTCCTAGAACACAGGCCCCAGCTGGGCCATAATGGCTGCTAGGGTCACTCAATGTTCAGAGAGCTACAAAACTCTTACCGTTTTTCAGTTTTTAATATCCTGGAAGGATCAAAGCATGAAATATGGGATTGGAGAATCAGCCTACTTAATTTTAATTTTAAGCTAAGGGAACTGGAATGAAGCTTCAGTTTTATTTCATCGTTTCCTGGGGTTTTACCTGGCCCCATCCACTTTATTTTCTGCACCAGCACAGGACAGCACAGTCCTTCAGGACTATGGAGAAAGTTGTGTAACCTAGTCCTAGAACTTCAGGCAATATGGATGATCATCTTCACTTCCCCCCATGCTTTCCCACCTCCTAACAACCCTGTGAGACTGATTAGGCTGACCCATCTCTGAAAAAGCTCCTTAGCGGAAGAGGGCTTGTTGGCCAGGTTTCTCAGTCCTTTTCCTGACACTCGAACTGCAACACCACATCAAATATCTTTTCACATCCCATTATGTCCACTGGGAGAAATCGCTTCCTTGCTTAGCAAATAAACCTAACCAGGTGAGATTGAGAACCCCACCATCCTGTTTCCAAAGGAGGACAGCCAGGAACTCAGGGGCAGAATGAAGGCAACTCCATCCAGCACATGAAATGTTAAAGCTAGAAGAAAGTGGTGTTAGTTATTGCAGGTTACAGTCATTAACCAATCCCATTACAAACCCATCTGAGCGACTGTCCCTCAAGTCATCCTGTGGCAGTGAGTTATATGAGTTTGTGATGCTTTGCGTGTTGCAACAGGCAAGTGGGTGGGGCACTGTTGAAACCTGCCTGAATGCCTCCTAAACCAGGGTCAACAGACATCAGCAATGGTGCAATATAATAACTGTGGTTGAAAGGATACCTTTACTTTGCATTTTCTTTCTTTTCCGGAAGAATGAATTGCAAGTTAGCCTTGTGAGCATGCGAGACCAAGCTAAATCCAAAAGCACTAGGGAATTCCCGGAAGCGTGGCACTCAGACAATTCAACCATCCTTAGACACATAGAGATAAACCACATTTACACACCATCCAAAAGAGACAATAAAAAAGCTAAAAAGGATACCAAAAGACCAGAACACATCCTCTCCAGCAGCCAACACCAAGATAAGCAGGGATTAGCACCAGACAAATAATCAAGCAGAAAACAATACCCTAATCAAGGAACTGCCAAGGAGAAAAACACCCCCCCACACACACACACCAACACTGGCAGGGCAAGCTTCTGTATATAAAAAGGGGGCCAACCCCCCACCCACCAGCACTGTTGATGTTACCTAGTCGGGGAATGAAATGTCTGCAAGCAAACCATCAAGCTCAGAGAGCACCAAGGACTCTACAGTTAGCCTTGTGCAGAATTCCCAACCTGGACTACTTTCACACGTATGGACCGCAACTCCCAGAATCCCCCAGCCAGCACAGCTATTGCTGAGAATTCTGGGGGCTGAAATCCACCCATCTGGCTCGGTTGGGAAACAGTGACTTCAGGTGTGAAATAAGCTTCTGGATTAAGCCCCATTCTTAAGAAGCTGTCTTCAGTTCTCTATTTTAAGACTGTCTTTCCCCAACCAGGCACCCTCAAAATGTCTTGATTCTGCATCTCCCTGATTTTCTAGCTAGCATAGTCGGAAATTATCTAAAGTGTCTGGCAGTAGCTTTCTAGGTTTGTGGGGTGGAGAATAAAGTCAGGGAATGCATTTGGACCAGAAAACAGGCCATAAAGAATCTAGGTCTGTTTTCTGGTGCATGCAGATGTTTCAAGGGTCCTTTGCTTTCCTGGATATCTGAGTGAACCGTTTTCACAAATTACTTCTGTTCAGTGGAGCGGGGTAAGGGAAGAGAGCTCCTGCCCATGTGCAGAAGCCGCTGCTTGTGGGACAAATCTGCCAGATTGTGTCACCTTAATCTGTACCTCCCAATTAAGTTCCCCTTTGATAGGATCAGCTGGTGAAATGGACTGAAAAAACAGGCATATCATCAGAAAGAAGATGGGAAGGACAGATGTCCTCAATCTCTACTTAGGGACAGTGGCCAAAACAGGAATCATCATCATCATCGTCATTGTCATCATCATCGTCATCACATCACCATCATCACCATCATTATCAGTGCAGGAACAGGAGTGCAGTGCTTTGAACAGTGTACAGTAGATCTGCAGAGAGAAAGCTAGAAGAGGAAAACAAGGAACTTCCATGCCAACAGCTGGAGATTGTAATTTGGCTTGCCCCAAATGTACCACGTCCTACTTCTCTGCAGCTCTGAAATGTGTGTACCCAGCGTGAGATGATGACACTGCACACTTTGCTCTGTGCATGGTGGACCTTGTCATGTGTCTGAGAAGCAGGCATTGTATTTGGAAAGCTACTCTTCAGCATCGGGGGTTGCTTCTCATATCGTTTGGAAATTGGGAGAATA